AATTTGCCCTGTGGAGGGTTTTGTTATGTATAAAACATTTCATAACACGGTACCCTGGGTGTGCTGCCAAGTATATTAACGTGCTTTGGTCAGTGATTATGGAAAGCTGTAATATGGATTTTGGATTGAAACAAGCTGTGCTCAGTTAAGCTAATTATTTTGATCAGGTCCAATATACTTTTTTACTTATGGATATGCTGGAAAGTTAATTTAAATTACGGTTCATCTAAAATAATATATCCTGTGTGTGTGTGTGTGTGTGTGTGTATATACTGAAATTATGACCATTCAAAGTGACCAGGTAGATTGATTCCTGAATGAATGACTCTTATGATTATGTTCTTTTCAAGGAATCAGAAACATAGAGCGCGAACAGTGTAGTCTGATTCCCGAACAAATGATTCTTTTGAATCAGTTCTTGTTAGTGAATCAGAAATATGAAGCATGACCAGTGTACCAATGCCTGACAAATGGCTCTCATGAGTTAGTTCTTTTTAGTGAGTCAAAAACAGACAGCATGAACAGTGTAGTCCATTCCTGAACAATTGATTCTTATGAGTCAGTTTTTTTTAGTGAATCACAGAGAAACCAGTGTAGCCTGGTTCTTGAACAAATGATCGCAAAGCATTGCAAAGTCATGATCCTTGATTTCATGTTGAGAAAGCCTCATGCATGAAGATTTATGCCTTAAATATTGAATAAAAATTTTTCATAAATTGATATTGAAAGCTACACAAGTGCATCTGGATTTCAGACTTTCACATTTCTACATTTAAATAAAATATCTCTTTTCTTTCAGGACAATGTGTCTCATTCTGCGCTGGTTCAGCTCTTTGACCCTCTCCAGTCCCCTATATGTTATGCAGTTGTTGGTATAAAGGAATCTACCGTTTGAAGACCAAATCTATAGCCCTGCTGTTTAGTGTAATTTATTGATTTAATTTTAATTTATTCTTTTGGTAAAACTTTGTTTTTATTTTTTATATTATTAATTTTGTTTTTAAAGTCAAATTCAAATTAACTCTTGCCAATTTTTCAAACAACCATAAAAATGCTTTTTTTAATTTATGTAATTATATTTTACAAAAATGTATGTCAAAATAGGGTTGTTCACAATAAACTAAAAGCAGTTTTTCATTCCGACTGCTCCAAAGACCTGGCTGTATTAGTCTCCAGATCGGTTCAGTTATGAAGCATAACGGTTCGGTCTGCAGCTTAAAGCGGAAAGATATAGTGATCAATGTGATGCAGAATGTTGCTTTTAGTGTTCATTAGTCTGACTGCTTTATAAATCAGCCTTAGCCTTACTGAGCCACACGAGGACATCAGTCACACTTGAGACGTCTTGTGCTTCCACTTATTTAACACACCATTAATATTAATCAGACATTGAGCTCTTCATTATTTCCAGGCCATTCCCCACAGACCATTATTCTCCTGTCTTATGTTTTAGTTAATATTCATAAATGAAACACCTCGAGGTAGCTATTGTCTTAACCTGATTGATTCTTCAGTGTATTTTTGCTCGATTAAGACCCCTTTAAAAACTCACAGCACTTAAGGCACAAAGAGTTTGTTTCTCGTGCATTTGTTTTACTTTCTTATACTACTATATTTGGTGTTGCTATTTATGTGTTTGCTTCTATTTTAAGAGGGAATGTGGCTTTATAGAGCTCCAAGAGAGAATTCAAAGCCACCAATTCTAACTGCAAGGAGTTTATTGATGATTATGCACACTGACCTGTCATAATTGTTCAGCAATATGGTTTCTTTATGTGATAATTATGCAGTTTCAAGTAGCACAAGTGGTTAGTAAAGTTCTGTCGAAACATTAACAAGTCACTGTGACTGGCTGATTTGTTTTTAACTTGTTTTCTTTTTTTAGACTGCAGTGAATTCATATTTTCATCATAGTAATTACAAGTCATTATTTATTGAATGCAAGCAGTTGTGGAAAAAATGTAGGAAGTTTGTTCTTTCAGAGAAAGTAGGCCACATAGCGAAGCTTAAGTATACACCATTCCTGCTTCTAATGATTTTTCCTTCTCTAACAACACTACATCCATTTATCATGGTACCACTTGACCAGAACAAAGCCAGCTCTGCCATTATTTTTGGAAAAAAATAGACGCCATTAGTGTGTCTCTGTGGAGATAAGCATGGCTACACATTGACACTGCAGCTTGAACTTCACTGAATTTGTTGGTGCCAGTCTAATGCTTCGCCAATAAGAGTCCGTTGACCAGTCACATATGTTTCCCTCATGAATTCATCTTCCAGCGGATGTATTGTGCCATATCCTGTTCTGTGTCTAAATCAGAGAAAGGAAAAGCTTCAGGATAATGATATGATGCACTCCAAAACATCTCTCTCCGTGACAGAAATAGCAAAGCGATGGGAAACCAGCTTACTCACTCCCTTATTTCCTGAAATGTAGCTTTTTTCTTTGCATGCAAAGGAGGCTGAGGAAATGCTTCTCTATCGTCACCAAGAATGTCCAGCTCCACTTTGAACAAAACAAAGTTCATTTTTAGTACATCATCAAAAAAAACATAAGAATTTGTTTTCTTCTCCTAAAGCAGAAACAGTCGACTGATTTGTTTGCTTGTGAGGAGAATCATTTTTCACTTCACAAAACAGCTGCTGTCCCCTGAAGTTTTGTGGTCAACAACCATGGTGTGTTTCACCGACTTAATGACTTCAGGATATAAATAACACATTTACCAAAGATGTGAGATGGCAAGAAAATGATAAGATTTGTTGACCTCTTAGGGTTGGTTCAGACAAAATGTGTTTTTGCATTAATCTGCTGCTTTTAATTCGGTTATGTAGATGTGTTTGACTGGTGTAGAATGGAAAAAAAATAGTGTTTTTTTAAAAGTTGAACTTCTTAACTTGAGTGCCATGTTTTTGAATGAGGTGTTAAGACGCAAAAGGCACAAGGCACGAGTGCAACAAAAACATCTTTCTAGTGCATTATTATCTAAAAAAACAATGGGAAAGCAGCGCAATGGAATGAAAAATTCGTGTGAATGGCTTCTTGGGACCGGTTTACACCGAAGAAAGTTTTTGTGAAACGTAGGTCAGTGGAATGCTAAAAAAGCAAGGTGTCATTTTGAAAAAATTTGTATCAACCCAATCTCATGAGAAAACGTAGCTATTTTACAAGGTGGTGATTGCATATACATTTGTGCAATATGATTTTTTGTTTTTGTATTTGAGACTGTAAGAATTCATACACCAAAACATAAAATAGTTACAAATTGCTATGAGAAAATGTATTTTAACTTAAGCAACGTGTTTTCAGAATGCAGTGTCATCCACTGTTTTAACAAGGTGGTAATATCGTATGAATTTGCACAATGTGATTCGTACAGAACATCAGTGGGGCAAAAACAGATCATATAAAAACGTACGAAGATTGTACGAATTCATACAAATTATTCACTAAAATGTAAAATTGTTACAAATTGCTATGAGAAATCTTGTTTTAACTTGAGCGACATGTTTTTACAATGCAGTGTCGGGTGCTACTTGTGAGGTGGTAATTTTGTGTGAATTTGTACAGAAAAGTGTGATTTAAAAAAAAAAACGGCGTAAAATATACAGCCCTAAACCTAACTGTCAGTATGACATAAGCAAATCGTATGAAAACGCAAACATTATGCACAAATTTGTACAAATTATCAACCAATTTGCCAAAACATGAAATAATTACGAATGATCGTTTCAAGGTGCAGTGTTTAAATATGGCGGCCGTGTGCTTTTAAAAAATGATTTAAAAAAGCAGTGCAGTGGAGTACAAAACTGCATTCCATGTGAACGGCCTCTTATGCCATTTCTTTATGCTTCGTCTTGCTTTTTTAAACGCAAGTACACATTTTATGTGAACGCCCCTTTAAATTCAACTTTAGTGTGAAAGATTATACATTGAATTTTTACTCCCAGAATGGGACTTTTCTTTGCTGTTTTAGCTATGTGGACATCCAGGCCCTGGCAGGTCTTGTGTGAGAATGAGATGAAAAGGGAAACGAAGGGAAAAGTCAATGGGGAGCCATTTAAGCTTCCGGTCAGTGGAGGAAGCAGGGAGGGACAAGATGAAGAGGGAAATGATGGGAAAAGTCAATGGGTGCCAGAGTAGCTTCCGGTCAGTGGAGGAAACAGGGATGAACCGCACAATACTCCTTATCAGGCATCGGCACTTTAATAGGGAACTGCATGGGAAAAGAAGAAGGAGAGGGGAGAGTGAGAGCGAAGGGAATTGGAAGGAAAGAGAGGTGCGATTTATCTTTTCATCAGTGATTCAAGGGGACTAAACAGGATGCACAGATGGAAAATATTCTGTTATTATGTCTCTCTCTTTCAATCTCGTCTCTATTTCTCCCTCACACGCAAACATATGCCAATCTCATCTACAATGACGCATGATGAGCTCCATCTGAAAATAATCAGCTTCTTTTTTGCCTCACTGTCTGAAGTGTTAACAGCATTTTAGGGAACAAATTCATGTCTGGCCGAAAGACGTACATGAATAAAATGTCTTCAAGTTCTGTTATTTCACTCTCTCACTGTATGCTCTGTGCATCATGGGCCTCAATCCAAATTTGATTGTAAAAGTCAGTGATATATATTTTTTTGTGGATGAAAATGTAAACAAGTTCTCATAACGCGTTTTCTATCACAAATTGGATGGCGATGTTTCAGATTAAAATGTTTTGCCCTGAAAACATTTTCCTATAATATTCTGACTGTCTTTATTGAGTTGGGCTGCATGGAAAATATAACAAAATCACTCATTAGACAAGCAGTATTTTACTAATAAACATGGCAAATTTCTAATATATAAACATATGGAGTCTTTATGCCAGAACTAAGACACTTGTTTTATCAGTTTAATTAATGCAGCTGTTCAATATTCTGTGGATTCTCTGCAGTGAATGGGTGCCGTCAGAATGAGAGTTCAAACAGCTGATAAGAATGTAACAGAAACATAAGAAACATGACAATAATCCATAAGCAATCCACAAGACTCTAGTCAATCTATTAATGTCTTGCAAAGTGAAAAGCTGCATGTTTATAACACAAACAAATCCATCATTATGAAGTTTTTAACTTCAAACTGTTGCTTCTGGCTTTCTTACAAACATGCAGGATGTCCCTGGGGTTGAGTACATTTTAGGCAGATTTTCATTTTTGGGTGAACTACTCCTTTAACCGATTTGTGGAATTATGTTATGGAAAAACCAAAGAGGTGTTTGTAATAATATTTTGTCTATATCAGATCATTGTTGATATTATTGTTTGTTTAAAAGCATTGCAGTTCAAACACAGGCCTGACATGAAACATTAAAATGTCAAATACCAGTTTTTGTAATCAAAAAGAGAGGATGAAGAACAAAACAAACATAGGAATAACAATGCCAAGTCAAGACTTCAATCAGTTTCCATCTGAAATGTTCTTTTAATCAGCATAAAACATAAGTTTGGTGCTATTTATTATTTTAATACAATTGATCCCAGTGTGTTTTTGTGCTGGTCTAAGTCAAGCAGGTGCTATTTTGGAGCCGGAGTGTTCCAGACTGTGGCACTGCCCATCATGACTGTTTCCTGTTTGATATTTATCAGCTGTGATGAAAAAGTCTTTCTTAAATTAAAAAAATGAATAAAATAAAATATAATTATTTATACAACAGGAACTCTGAAAAAGAAAACGAGACACATCTTATAGTGTTCATCAGACTTGTTTTTCATTCAAAGGTGAATAAAGATTTAAAGATTTGACATTAAAATTGATTAATATTGCTAAGAATATCATGCATTTTGTATTTTATTTTTGATTGTATTATTTATTTAATTGTATTATTTGCATTTTAAAAAATGTCCTTAGAAACTACCCTAACACACCTGCAATCAGTTACAAACCATTTTTTGTAATCTATTGTGATTATAATTTTGTGAAATTTTTTGTTTTTTGTTTTTAATTGTATACTTTTCAGATTGACATCTATTCCATCTGACTATTTGTATCCACAGCAGAATGCAGCACTGATAAGGTCAGAGCTCGTGTTGATCCCTGAAAACAGCAGTTGTCCTCCCAGTGGGGTTGACGGTCAAGGGTCAACAGCTTGAGGTCAGCGGGGTGGAACAGGAGTGGAGTGACTACACTGGGGTACAAATGATCTCTCGCTCTTGTTCCTGTGTTTGACTCATGCAGATTCACACATGCACTGAACAGGTTTTGCCCCAGCTGCTCCTCAGTGGGGATTTTCAGAGATCCACATGCAAAAAGCACAACTCATCGCAGGGTGCAAAAATCGAATTCATCATCTACACTTCCTTCAAAGCAGATTATTATTAGGGGGGAAAAGCAAACAAACAACAACAAGACTTTTTTTCTTGCAATTCTGAGAATAAAAGTCTGAATTGTGAAATATAAAGTCGGAGTTGCTAGAAGAAAGTATTTTTTCTTTTTCTTCTGTGGCAGGAAAGAGAGAGAGAAAAAAAAATTGAAAGATGTGAACAGAATTCTGAGGGAAAAAAGTCAGAATTGCGACATATAGCCTATAAGGGATGTAAATTCAGAATTGAGAAAAGAAATGTCAAAAATCTGATTTTATATTTTGCAATACTGACTTTTTTTACTCTCAGAATTGGGGAAACAAAGTACGACTTGTGAGATATACAGTGGGTACGGAAAGTATTCAGACCCCCTTCAGTTTTTCACTCTTTGTTATATTGCAGCCATAAATTGAAGGGGGTCTGAATACTTTCCGTACCCACTGTAAACTCAGAATTACAAGAAAAAAAGTCGCAATTACATTTATTTGTTTGTTTGTTTTTAAATTTTGTTTTATTCAGGCGAAAATGGGTGATATTTACATACCAATCAAATTACATTATAGATCTTAATATTTATTTATTTACAAGTTGTTCAAAACTAATGTAAATGCTTCAAACCAAAGCAACTGCAGTTTATAAAAAAATTATAAAAAATTGTCATTAAAAAAATTATAAAAAAAGAATTGCGAGATATAGCCTATAGCCTATGGGATAGCCTAAGTCAATATTCTGATTTTATATTTTGCAATACTAACTTTTTTACTCTCAGAATTGGGGAAACAAAGTTCGAATTGTGAGATATAAACTCAGAATTGCAAAAAAAAAAGTCGCAATTACATTTATTTATATTTTATTCAGGCGAAAACGAGCTTCCATGCTGAGGTGATATTTACATACCAATCAAATTACAGAATGGAACTGGATGGAATATTTATTTACTTGTTTATTTATTTACAAGTTATTCGAAACTAATGTAAATGCTGCAAACCAAAGCAATTGAAGTTTATTATAGTAAGGCTCTAAATCAGTTTAATAGGATAAGACTCTCGCTCTCAGCTCAGTGGTGCTGATGCTTCTCTCTTGTGAAGTGATTTCTGCGCATGCGCGGCGTTTCTAAATCTCACACGCGTGTTGTGTGTTTGATAGGAGGGTGTTACTGCTACGGGATGTTTCACTACGGCTTTCTGGATGAAGAGCAGGCGAATACTCTCCGTTCATTAGCGAAAACACCACAGTACGAGCAGATATGTGGGCTGAATCCACAGCCTTCGACTGAGAATGGGTTAGACGAGCGATGCTTGTGTTTGAAACTCTTCCCATCTCGCAGCGGGAGCAAAACAATGAGGACAACAGCAAACAGAGACGGGGACTGATCAGTGTCATTCATTCCTGGACTTTCTTTTCAACTCTTTGTCGTTGAGATGATAGTGGAGCTGGTGTGCAGCGCGGTGGCTCTGCTCCTCTATATGAACACACTGAGCGCTGATTTCTGCTATGATGACAGGTACAGTCCTTCTCCATCACTTCACCTTAACAGTTAAGCTCAGTAATGACAGGTGTGTTCAGTTAAATGTGCTCTTATTCACACAGATAAAATAATCTGTATGTTTATTGTTTGTTAGAATAACACACAACTTTATGAAAACAGCTTTAGTTACAAAATGTATCACTCTTACTACATTTATTTACACATGGGAAACGTTTTGTAAGTGGCAGATTAAAAGGGATTCAAACATGTTGGTTATTTTAATTGGTTTATTTTCATTTATTCATTTATTTGTATATTTATGACACTTGCAATATATCTAAGAAACATTCATATTGTGACATATCTGGTCGATTTTATTGTTTGTCATTTTACATTTGTTCATTGTGAACTGTTCGCGGGCGCCTCTCCATTGAGGAGATGCCAGTAGGGGAAATCGGGGCTAGTTGTCATACTTTTCACTACAGTGAATATTTTTCAGGTTAGATTAGTTTATTTTAAGTAGCATGAAATAATACGCATGTAAATGGTAGCCTATCGTGCAATCATGTATAGTTAACAACATGTAAAATATGTGACAACTTGCCCCAAGTGACTCAAACACTACAAATGTTGTATATTTTTCTAAATTAAACACACCCAATTGAGCTCATTAGTTCATTTTGTAGACTTCAGGGCCTGAAACAGATGTGGATGGAGACATCCCAAAATGTGCACTGCTAGATCATGGTTGGGAAACAGACTGATCTGAAGCATATTTACTGAGATATAATCTCTGTGACAACTAGCCTATCCTGTATTTGACTGTGTGACAGGCCTGCTGTTACTGTCTTTCTCATCATTACATTAATGCTTATTTCTGGGAAATTGATTAAAACCTGTTCAGCATGCTTTGCGAGACATAACCCTGGGAATCTTTTGTGGGTTTACTGCAGAGAAATGACCCATGAAATGATGGGTTTAGTGTAGTAGCCAATGCAGAAGGAAAGTGATAATTTGTGTAAACATCTCCAGCTGCTTCTGATTCTATTAAGATTAATTTATAGACGCCCAAGTGGAACCTAATCAGGCTTTAAGATCATTTCAAGGACCCAGTTGGGCACATCAGTGTCCATGCCATAATTGTTTCAATATATCATCGTCAACAAATTGACCTCCAACTTGCCAATCAAATGTAAATAATTGATTTTCAATTGGTCATATATTTAAATACAGACTCAGCAAGTGGTGATCTACTCTGTGTTGATAGACAAAATTTCATGGGTGAAATCCAGCCATTCCAATAGGAATCCATGTGATTGGGAGTTTCAAGTGAGAGCGAAAAAGTTCCCCATGCATATTTCGCTCATACTCAAGTTGGTCATGACCAATTGAAAGCTGCTTAGTTTGAAACTGGTGGACAATGGACCGTTTGCGCACAAAATTCTACAGAAATTTCACTGATGAGACTGCAAATTTTTGCTCTTAACTAGTTGTCTGTAGGAGTGATGCAAATAGTGTCTCACACTGCGTTTAAATGTTAAATCACGACCCGTGACCTTTAATTTTCAGATGAGACCCAGTGTTAATTTAAACCCAAGAGATGCACACATGCATGCATCCTTCTCTGTCCCTCTTGAGTGACCACAGACACCCAATCAGTACACTGACCTTCCAGAGTCATTCATCAAGTCGACCTTCTCACATAAAGGTCAACAGTCTTGCGTCCTTCACCCGTTCCCTGGGGTTTAAGTTGCTTTGATTTATGTGTTTGTGTGCACAAGGCATAATCAAAGAATCTGGCGATTGGTTTTCTGTGATTCCCGTCTCGACTCTTGGGACTGGTTTCGGTCTCTGACTGTGGTCATGCACTAGCTGTTGAAGTGCGGTTGCAATCCTAGGCTTCCAGAGCTCTGGAATACCGTGCTCTGTCTCTGTTTTCTTAATCACGTCAAGTGTTTTTCCTTGGAACGGTATGGAGACTTGTCCACACTCCATGCGCCAATGGTAATCTCAATAAAAAAGCGAATAAAGCATTCTTGGTATGAAATGCGCAACTTGACTGAAGGCAGAAGACGTCAGCCAGTGTTAATCCTACTGGGGGAAATTTATTTTTACATGTCTTGAGAGCGATGTTTGAGAGCCGGCATGTGATCTTGTGCCAGTTGTGCTGTTCTAAAGCATTTTCCATGGTTCTGACTGAGTTATACATGGTTTTTGCCCTCTGGATGAGTTTCACGTTGCTTGCAGAGATAAAATCTTGCTGTTTGTTTTGAATGCTAGAGTTTTATTAGTGAAGAGACTTCCAGAGGATGTTGTTTGCTGATTAGCTCAGGTTCAACCATGTCCATATCCGTTGCAGAGGACATGTTTCCCCCGAATAAAGTTAGTTTTGGATTAATTCAGTGGGATATTTCACTTGTAGAGTAGTTGTTTCTTAAATAATACAGTGGTTGCAATTGATGCTTGGTACTGTAAGACATCAGCAGTATTGCATTTTAAAAAATCAAACAGACTTGTAGTCAAACAAAAGATTTGCATACGAAATAAGGTTTTTAATTCAACCCAGTCATATACTGCTGCCCACTTTTCTTCATGTTTTGTTCATCTGTAACAGTCCTTAAACGTGACCGTAGAAATGTGAAATGGGCCTCAAGGGGGATTTACAAAGAAAACATCCATCTCTTTACCAGCTGTGTGACAAAATGCATGCTTAACAAGTTGTCTTGCGTATTGCTGTAACTTTGATATCTCCTGCAAATAAGCAGGGAATGTTTTGTCTTTGTTTCACTAAGTATTTTGCAGTATCTCAATTGTTGCATTCGGTTTGATGGTTATCTGGTGCACATGTGTGTTTTATCAATGGAGAGACTGTATAGCACTTTGTGGCTTTTAGGAGGAGTGTTTCATTATGCGCCTTTGTGTGTATTGTGATTGATAGATTGTGTCAAACTTGCACTCAAGCTTTATCACCGTATGTGTGGTCTTGACAGATGTACAGATTGTAAATAATTAAATTGCAATTTAATACTGATATGAAACTTTTATACTGCATTTTGGTCACATTGATGTTTTTGTTTCACTCTCATATCCATAATGATTGACACCTGTTTTGTTACCTATATGGATTTTATGTAATTCTTAAAGTAAAATATCACACATTTGTCATCCACAAAAATATAACAAAATACATAAATGGTGTATCGTCTTCATGACGTTAATCCTTGCTATTACAGGCCTTAATATTAGTTGGCAACAGACCATTTATTTTATCAAATCATTTGTTCTAGACATGCTCTCATGCCTTTTAAAATGTCAGACTGTTATTTTATTAAAGCTCTTGGGGTTTTAGGACACAGAGTTTTCCTTAAATTGTCTTTTTTTATCGATTTGGAAGTAGGTATGTGGTCATTGATGGCCTGGGAAAGAATTCAAGTCAGCATAATGAATTTTCAGTATATGCTTTTCTCCAATCCGTATCGCAATAATCAAAACCAGCCATGTCTATGGAATGATCATCTTATGCCATATTATAATTAATTTTAAATGTATTTTAAATATATTTTTATTTTTCAAAAATATATAAAAAAATAATTAGTGCTGTCAAAGAATTAATCGCGATTAATCACATCCAAAATAAACATTTTTGTTCACATAATATATGTGTGTGTACTGTGTATATTTATTATGTAAATATAAATACAAACACATGCATGTATATATTTCAGAAAAATTTTATTTTTGTATATTAAATATATTTATATATATAAATTATATGAATATAAATATATACATGTAAATACATGTAAATATTTTCAAAATATATACTGTATGTACGTGTATTTATATATATGTACATAATAAATATACACAGTACACACACATATTATGTAAACAAAAACTTTTATTTTGGATGCGATTAATCGTGATTAATCGTTTGACAGCACTAAAAATAATATAAATATATTTATATGATTTTATTTTTAAAAATTATGTATTTTTATATTATTTAACATTTAATAAAAAAAAAAAGTGTAGTTAATCCACATCAGTCTACACACACTTTATCTCATTACAGTTAGAGGCTGCTGGACTTTATAAGAGATCAATGCATTCACATTACTTTGCAGCTCTTGTCACACCCTGTTAGTACCGTCAGTCGTTTTTCTATTAAACCTGTTACAATCCCAAATATCCACTTTGGCACCAGAACATTTAGCACTTTTTTTTAAATCTCTTCTAACCGAACCGCTGTCATTCAGCTCTGACTGCTGTGGGATGCAACATGAGCGATGCAGTGAAGAGTGACTGATTTAAAGAGGGTAATTTGAGATGTTTGGAGGCTGAAGAGAGCGCTTAAACCACACAACCCAGAGAAGTACATCACAGAAATGATATATTTTATGAAGGAAAGGCAGATGGGCTTCATCAAAAGTACCAAAATTAATTTTAAAATCATTTTGAGTGGTTATAGTGAGCCAGAGGCAAAGTGAACGAAATGCAGAGCGAGTGAGTGACTGAAAGGTTTGATTTGTTGCCAGTGGAAATGGTTGCATTTTAAAACACTCCGCATTTCCCCCTCGACCCCTAATGTGCTGTATTATTCCACCAGTGTAGAACACATGTAAGTTTTTAAGTTCAAATCTACCATCCCTATTGATTTATGCACACTCTATGGGAGTCTGTGTCGATGCTATGCTGTGTGTTGGGGGTTGATGCCTTGATTACTTGCAGATTTGCACTGGTTATCCTTCTGTGGCCAGCTTCGAGGAGCTGTCAGCCAACTCTGCACATTTGAACACTGTCTGAATCCACAATCAGGGTGAAACCCCTCATGTACAGGCCAATGACACCAGTCTCCCAATGGAGGATCGTCTACAGGCAGAGTTAAGAGTAGAGTTTCTTGAAAGAACGTACTAGCCAGTGTTGCAACAAAGAGCATGTCGCCTTTATTGAGCTTTACTGAGCTTGACTAGCATTGGTGTTGCTATACCACCATGGGATCTGACCCTTTGTACCCAGAAACATCAAATAAATGG